CTCAACTGCCTTTTTTCTTTCTCCCTCTTTATTTCCATTCTGCCCTCCCTCTCCTCTTCCACCTTTCTCTTCTTCATTCTCCCCCTATCCTCTTCCATCCTTTGCTCCTACCTTCTCTCCTTTTCCCTCTCCATCCTTCTTTCCGTCTCTCTTTCCATCTACTCTCTAATTCCATCCTTCCCTACTTCCCTTTCTTACTCTTTCTCTTCCATCCTCCTCCCATGCCTCCTCTTTCTCTCCTCTTCCCCTCTTCTCCCCTTCCTTGTTTCCCTCTTTGCTTCCATCACCCTCTCCTTCTCTCCCTCTTTCGCCCTCCCCCTCCCTACCCTCTCTTCCCTTGCCCTCTTCTCCCCTTCCTTGCTTCCCTCTCTGCTTCCATCACCCTCTCCTTCTCTCCCTCTTTCGCCCCCCCCCCCTCCCTACCCTCTCTTCCCTTCCCCTCTTCTCCCCTTCCTTGTTTCCCTCTCTGCTTCCATCATCCTCTCCTTCTCTCCCTCTTTCGCCCCCTCCCCCTCCCTACCCTCTCTTCCCTTGCCCTCTTCTCCCCTTCCTTGCTTCCCTCTCTGCTTCCATCACCCTCTCCTTCTCTCCCTCTTTCGCCCCCCCCCTCCCTACCCTCTCTTCCCTTGCCCTCGCAGGTCATAAGCAATCATTCCAGAATCGTGTGATCGCCATTACTGCTGATGTAAATGCCGTTCACCCAACTGAAAGGCCTTTTAAATCATTTCATGTCGTAATTCCGTTTTATAAATACAGCAAGATGCATTAATGTGCTACATTTCGATGGAATGCAAATAGAACAAAAATGAAGAAAGTCTGTTGTTGTTATTGTTATTGTTATTATTACTACTACTATCTTTGTTATTATTATTATTATTATTATTATTATTATTACTATTATTATTATTATTATTATTATTATTATTATTATTATTATTATCATTATCCTCATTAGTAGTGGCAATAGTATTAACATTATTATCATTATAATTTTTGTTATCATTATCATTATAACTATTATTATTATTACTACCACTACTATAATATTACTACTACTATTGCTATTTCTGTTAGCATGGTTATTACCACTATCAAAATTATATTTCTTATAATGATCATCTTCATCATTATACTTATTTTTTTATATCATACTTGTTATCATCATAATAATTATTATAACTTCACTTTCTGGCACGAATCTTTTTCTGAAAGTTGCCAACATCTATAAACCGTAAATAGTTCCATAACAAAGTCTAAACTAATAAATCATTGGAGGCAACTTTAGATCGGGAAGATAATAAAACGAAAATAAAAAGATGATAAAAATAGCAAAGGACTGAAGTAGGGAAAAAGGAAAGCAGAAGAAGAACGGGAATAAGAAAAGGAAGAAGAAAAAGACGGGGGAAGAAATAAGAAATATAAAAATAAAAGAAAAAGAAAAAAAAATCAGATTTTTTTTTACTATACTCTTCTGTGTCTAATACGGTATAATAAACACAAACAAAAAAAATATAAAAGCAATACACACACACAAACAAAAACAAACAAAACCTAGAAAGAGGAAAATAAATCTTCCCTATACGAACTTTTCAAGAGATTTTGTGCGGAAGCGGATACAGTGAGATTTAGTCCCGGAGAAATATTGTTTAGTCCTAACAAGCTTATTTGTCTCTCCACTCGAGTCCCCGACCTGCGAGGCGCCTCTTTCTTTGTTTCTTGCTTGATTTCCATGTTCTGGGGTGGGGGTGGGTGGGGTGGGGTGCGATGGGGGTGGGGGGAAGAGGGGGTGTAAGTTTGTGTGGGGTGTTGGTGGGTGGGGATAGGTTTGTGTGTGTGTTTGTGTGTGTGTGTGTGTGTGTGTGTGTGTGTGTGCGTGCGTGCGTGCGTGCGTGCGTGCGTGCGTGCGTGCGTGCGCGCGTGCGTGCGTGTGTGTATGTGTTTATGTTTGTGTTTGTGAACGTGTGCGTGTGTGTGTGTGTGTTTATGTTTGTGTTTGTGGGCGTGTGCGCGTGTGTGTGTGCGTGTGCGCGTTCATATATATGTGTCCACGGAAGACGCTGCGCACACACATTCGTTCGTTCGCCTGTTTCCGTGGCGAGACAAGCGGCCGGCCGACCCGTTCGCGTCCCTCAATTCCGCCCGTGAAAGGAGCGCCGTTGGCTTTCATCCCGCCGCTATTCAAGGGGCCTCCTCCTCTATCATCACCATCATCACGTGCGTAAGAAACTTGGCCAGTTCTCGGCGCTTGTGAAAGAAAGAGGAGAAAAAAGACACATGTCAGGCCTTAAGTTCGCGGCTGAATCGAGATCATTTTGACGCGTCTCGCCCACTATGGCGGAAGTAATCGCGCTCGCCAGGATTAAAGCTTGTAATTTACTTGCTAATTTCATCACGTAAGCACGCGCTCTACGTATGCGAACACATGCGAACAGACATACACATGCACACGAACACACACACACACACACACATACATGCACACGCACACACACACACACAC